TCCATCATTTATACTTTTGAAAATCATGCTACATAACTTGAGCCAAAGTTTGCTACATCGTTTGAGCCAAAGCTTGCTACATAGCTTGAGCCAAAGCTTGCTACATTACTTGAGTCAAAGCTTGCTACATAGCTTGAGTCAAAGCTTGCTACATAACTTGAGCCAAAGTTTGCTACATCGCTTGAGCCAAAGTTTGCTACATCACTTGAGCCAAAGTTTGCTACATCGCTTGAGCCAAAGCTTGCTACATCGCTAGAGCTAAAGTTTGCTACATTAATTGAGCCAAAGTTTGCTACATCACTTGAGCCAAAGTCTACTACATCGCTTGAGTCAAAGCTTGCTACATTACTTGAGCCAAAGTTTGCTACGTCACTTGAGCCAAAGCTTGCTACATCACTTGAGCCAAAGTCGCTAACCAATCATGGTCGGCTAAAAACGTGTTTTCTTTTCATTGATACACCATCAATTCATAAACAGTAAATCCACGAAACCATTATTACAAACATACCCATATATATTTATAATAAATAAGCGACTCACAACTTAATCATTTTCACAACCAGAAAATCCACACATTTTCCATTACGATGCGCAAGTTAAAGACTTATCCTTACCTTGGTGAGTGTTGGGTTTGGTCTTTGGTAACTTTGCAAGTTCCACCGACACCGCCTCCAACCTTAGGATCTTTCCTCATTCCCACCACATAACAACAATGTTAGTCATTTATTCAAAATAACACATAAACAACTCATATTTCATTTTTAACCATACAAGAGATTCATACATTTTCAATGTTTCCAAAACTACCTTCATTAAGAGTTTCCAAACATCTACAACATACATATTCATCTCATATTCAACATTAGAACTTATACTCATCTTCTCATTTTGGGGTTTTGGGGTTTTCATGAATCAACCCACAAACCCTTTCCATTCTTAAAATACCAACTCTAAACCTAGAGTTTACAAGAGAAAAACAACATAAACGAACCATAACTCATAAGGATGAGTTTCCATGGTTTCTCACATTTTAAGAAGAGATCCAACATACCCAAAACAAGTTTCAAAGGGAGAAGGAGAGTTAGAATCAAGAGATTTACCTCTTCTCAAGCTTCTAGATGATTCTCAAGACTCTTTGCTCTTGAAAATGCTCTCTTCTCTTAATTCTCTTCAAGTTCTAACCCTAAAATGTGTTTGGGGTTCCTTATTTAATGTAACAACATCAGGTTCTCACTCAAGCGAGCCCATTCTTGCTCAAGCGAGAAAATCCCGCCTATTTTAAAAACTCAGATCTGACCCTCTCGCTCAAGCGAGGATCTTACAGCCTCTACAGCTTCAAAGTGCCTCTTCTTTCCCAGGCGAGACAACTCTCGCTCAGGCGAGCCAACTCTCGCTCAAGCGAGACAATTCTCGCTCAGGCGAGAATCCTTTAGTATAGCCCAGGATTCCACTCACGTAGGTGAGCCTCTCTCGCCCAGGCGACACCTTTCTCGCTCAAGCGAGACTCCCCGGACTGACACTCTAATTTATAACTTTAAATTCAGGGTGTCACAATCCTCCCTCTCTTAAAAGAATTTCCCCAAAATTAAACATACATCGATTCAAACAAATGAGGGTAATCCTTCCTCATATCATGCTCCACTTCCCATGTAGCGTCTCCTTCGTCGACTTGACTCCATAGTACCTTCACCAAGGCAATCTCTTTTACCCTCAACTTCTTGACACTAGTATCCAAAATCCTCACAGTAAGGTAGCAAAAGTCAAGTTATCTTTCAATTCTATTTGGTCCGATTCAACCACATGAGAAGGGTCTCCAACATATTTCCGCAATTGAGACACGTGAAACACATTGTGGAGATTCGACAATAATGGAGGTAAAGCAATCCGATATGCTATCGGCCCAATCCTCTTCAATATCTGATATGGTCCAATAAATCTCGGAGTAAGCTTACGAGACTTCAACACTCTACCAACCCTGGTAGTCAGAACTACTCTTATGAATACATGATCTCTCTCCTTAAACTCAAGAGGTTTCCGCCTCTTATCGTAATAGCTTTTCTTCCGACTTTGTGTTATTCTCATATTCTCCCATATCTTCTTGATCTTTTCCGTCGTTTCTCGGACCAACTCGGGTCCCAATACTAAGTTCTCCCCAATTTCAAACCAACTCATTGGAGTTCGGCACTTCCTACCATACAATGCCTCATAGGGTGCCATCCCAATACTCGAATGTAAGCTATTGTTGTAGGTAAATTCAATCAAAGGCAACATGCTATCCCAACTCCCCGGTTGTTCCAAAACACAAGCCCTCAAAAGATCCTCCAACGACTGTATGGTCCTTTCCGATTGACCATCCGTTTGTGGTTGATAAGTTGAACTCAATTTCAACTTAGTTCCCAATGCGGAATGTAAGCTATTCCAAAAGTTTGAAGTGAAACGAGGATCCCTATCCGATATAATACTCGATGGTATCCCATGCAGATGAACTATTTCCTGGATATAGGTAGAAAGTGTGCAGACTTAGTCAACCAATCTACTATCACCCATATCGAATCATACCCTTTCTGAGTCTTTGGAAAACCCGATAAAAAATCTATGGAGATATTATCCCACTTCCAAACGGGAATCTCTAGTGACTGTAACTCTCCCGCTAGCCGTTGATGTTCAATCTTGGCTTTCTGACAGACGAGACAACTCGAGACATACAATGCCACATCTTTTTTCAACCCAGACCACCAAAACAACTTTTTCAAATCTAGGTACATCTTTGTAGTTCCCGGGTGAAAACTCATTTTACTTTTGTGTGACTCTTCCAGAATACTCTTTCGCAATTCAACATCCATAAGCACACACCCTTCCCTTGTATCGCAACATCCTACTAGGGTCTGACTCAAAATCGGTTTCCTTTCCACTCGCCATTATATCTCGTTTGACCATTAGCTCACGATCCTCAACATGCATCATTCGGATTTGGTTGAACAATTCATTTGTAACCTTAAGCATTCCCAACATCATACTATGGGGTCTTATTTAAACTTCGAAGTTCATATCCCTGAACTCCTCAATCAGTTTCCCTTCATGAACCATCAAAGCCGACATATGTAAGGACTTCCGACTCAAGGCATCGGCTACCACATTGGCCATTCTCGGATGATACTGCAATCCGAAATCATAGTCCTTAAGGAACTCCATCCACCTCCAATGTCTCATGTTTAGTTCCTTCTGATCGAACAGATACTTCAAACTCTTGTGGTCAATGTACACTTCGAACCTTACACCACACAGATGGTGTCTCCAAATTTTTAATGCAAAGACCATGGCGGCTAGTTCCTAGTCATGCCTAGGGTAGTTTTACTCATGTGTTCTCAACTGTCGGGAAGCATAGGCAACAACCTTCCCATCTTGCATCAGAACACAACCCAAGCCTTGCTTAGAAGCATCACAACACTGGTGCCGTAGTCAACCTCCGCTTTAACTCTTGAATGCTCTCTTCGCAACGGATTGTCCACACACAAGGCTCCCCTTTTCTGGTAAGCTTAGTCAAAGGTAAAGCCAACTTCGAAAATTCTTCTATGAATTTCCGATAGTAACTGGTCAAACCAAGAAAGCTTCTGATCTCAGTAACGGACTTGGGCACCTCCCACTCCATCACCGCCTCGACCTTAGAAGGGTCTTCTGCCACCCCTTCCTTGGATATCACATGTCCAAGAAAGTTCACCGATTCCAGCCAAAAGTCACATTTCGACAACTTCGCATATAATTGATTCCTTTTCAGAAGGTCTAGAACAATTCTCAAATGCTCTGCATGTTCCTCTTGGCTCTTGGAGTAAACCAGAATGTCATCAATAAATACCACTACGAATGAATCCAAATACGGCTGAAAAATCTGATTCATGTAGTTAGTAAATATTGTTGGGGAATTCGTTACCCCAAAAGGCATCATTAAATACTCAAAATGCCCAAACCTCGACCTAAAAGTAGTTTTAGGAATATCCTCCGATTTTACTCGAAGTTGATGATAACCTGACCGGAGGTCAATCTTTGAAAATACCACTGCTCCTCTCAGTTGATCCATCAAGTCATCAATCCTAGGCAAGGGATACTTGTTCTTGATGGTGACTTTGTTCAACTGTCTATAATCGGTGCACAACCTCATACTCCAATCTTTCTTCTTGACCAACAGGACCGGTGCACCCCACGGTGAAACACTAGGACGAATGAACTTCTTTGCTAACAAGTCTTCAATCTGCTTTTTCAACTCAGCTAGTTCTAATGGTGCCATCCTATAGGGAGCTATAGAGATGGGTCTCGTTCCAAGTACTAAGTCAATAGAGAATTCAACTTCTCTCACTGGAGGCAATTTCGGAATATCACTAGGAAATACCTCAGGAAACTCACAAACTATCGGAATATCCTCAACTATGGGTTTCTCAATACCCTCCAGGGATGCCAACAAAAAAAACACGGCTCCTCCCTCCTTAAAGGAAGTTCTGACTCCCTTAGCCGACAACGGCTTCATCAAACAAGCCTAATCAGAAATCTCACTCAGATCTCCAAACACAATGGTTTTATCAGCAAAATTAAGCATTAAATGATTTGCTGATAACCAGTCCATCCCCAGAATTAGATCAATCTGGGATAGTAGTAAGAAGATTAAATCCACGGTAAATGTTCTACCGTTTACCACTACCGGACATCGAGACACAACCGTCGACACCACCACAGGCACACTAGTTGGGGTGGATACGACCAAGTCGAAAGGCAACGACTCAATTTGCAATTTCAGTCTATCCACGCATTCAACAGATACAAAGGAGTGTGTCGCTCCCGAATCGAATAACACTAAAAGAGGAATACCTGCCACCATGCAATTACCTTTAATCAGGCCATCCACATTCGATGCCTCCGCACCGCTCATGGTTGATATAAAAATTATCTCTTTAAAAGGGGTGAAGCAGTATAAACTAATGTTTGCGCCGTATCCCATCTTAAAGAGCATTGAAGATATTATCCCTTAAGAAGGGCGAAGCAACAGAAGCTAATGTCCGCACAACATCCTATCTAAAGAAGATATTTGAAAATAATTATAATATTTTTTATTGTTAATTTAGGAATTAATCTAATGAATAGAAGTGTCATAACACGACCATTCGAAGATGATATGAGGACGATAAGTCTTACAATGACCTTCATCCATCCTCGATTAATTTCCCAAAAGTGATAAATTTTATATAAGCATTGATAAAAATTGTTTGTTTCAAAGAAAAATTACTTTTGTTCATAAAATGATGCATATTTATTGTTACTGATGAGCTACACAATAAAATTCATTATTTATTTTTGTTACAACGACTATCGTTATAAAATAAATAATGTCATTATGTTAGTATAAACATTATTAATTATTATTATATATAGAATTGAATTAGTAATATTATCTTCTACAAATTTAAGAGTTGACTAAACAACTAACATTACACTTATGATTTATCATTTTCCATTTATTTGGTTAATGATTTCGTTGTTTAACATGAGAAGAAGGAAACTCATACATTACTTAGTACTACTCTTTTCAATAAAATAATTAATTACTAAAAAAACAATATTGCTATTAATAAGTTAACAATATTGCTATTAATTACTAAACACAATATCTCTTCTCTTCAATGATAAAATATGAATAAGGCTTGACATTGTTATTAATAAGTTAACAATATTGCTTTTAGTTATTGTTAAAAAATAAGAAACTAAAAAAACAAAACAAAACAATGGAGAAAAGGGGTAATACCTGAGGATTGGAGTCTACGTGGGGAATCGGGAGCCAAACACGTCTATATGAGGATAGATTCTGCTACTATCAATATATGATATTTATTCTGAAATTATAAAGGGAGAAGTAAAGGTGTATATGAAGAAAGGGATAAGAGTGACATATGATATTGGTTTGCTGTATATGGAGGATTTGAAGGTTGTAGAGTGTGAAGGATTTTTGGGATTTCTTTCCAAGTTTGTCTGCTAATTTTTCTTTGTTGAATAGTTGTTCTCCTTTGGAATAGTTGAATTTGGTATATATTTATAGCAAAAAGTGAAAGGCATATGTGTCCTTGATGTCCTTGATTATAGCATACGGCCAAATTTGTAACAAAATCCAACATTCAAACTTCAGTAATTGGGGCAATGAATCCACTAAGTATCTATAACAAAACATTTTGATATTGTGTTTTTTTTTGTTCTTTTTGAGAAGGTATTTTGGGCTGGACATAATTGGGTACTCACAGTTGCCTTTCTTTAATTGTTGCTTATGTGACAGCATACAAACCGAGATTTGGGTGTTGTCGCGATAAAAAACTAGTAAAGAAATGAGTCAAGCATGGAGTCCTCGAAGGCATAGATTAAGGTCGTCAAGTATTAAGTCCTTAATCTTATAATTTTGAGGTCGTCAAGCACGAGATCCTCAAAATTAAAAAAAAATCTTTATAAAAAATGTCAGGCCCGAGGACTTCAAAGATTGATTTCGAGGTCATCAAGCATGGGATCCTTGAAGCCATAGATTGAGGTCGTCAAGCACAGAATCCTCAATCTTATAATTTTGTGGTCATCAAGCACAAACCCCTCAAAATTAAAAAAAAAATCTTTAAAAATGCCAGGCACGGGGTCTTGAAAGATTGATTTTGAGGTCGTCAAGCATGAGGTCCTCGAAATTATAATTTAAAACAGTTCGGGTGAATAGTACAATGGGATATGCGGTACATGAGGTTCATGTTGATGTTTGTATTGTAATGACTAATGTATGAATTTGACTATGCATTGAGTAGTATGAGTGTGTGTAATGATGTATGAAATGCAATTGATGTTTAATGTCAGAGAATTATTGTTTAGGGATATCGTTGTCTGAGCGCTCGTGTATGAAATATTAAAAATGTTCATGTTGATTATAATTATAATGATTGATGCATGAATGTGACATGCATTTATTTATATGGTGATGCAGAGTGATGTTTATGATGCATGTAACTCATATTAATAATATTATGATTAATTTGAATATACATTGATTTGAATATGAATATCTTTTGATGTACGTATGTCATGTATGATATGAGTATTAGATGTTTGTTTGAATGGAATGCAAATGTTCTAATGTATCACTCATGATTTATTTCCTAGAGGGAACTCATCATTTTTGGCAGACTTGGTTGAAGCGACCGTTGCTGTTTGATGTTGATTACAATTAATAAACCCAACTATTTTGATCTAGTGTAGGCTTGCATGGACTTCTATCGAAAGTATTGATGTTTTTGTAGCAACAAAAATGTCCTGGCGTGCCTGTTATGAACTTTTGTCTCCAGTTAGGAGGTTATAACATAAATTTTCCAAGAAATTATCCCCGTTTGGGCGATCGAGGATGTGTAATAGTAAGTCTTCATCTTGACAGTCTTCATTAAATTTTCCCTAATTTTTTCCCAAAATACCTTATGTAGGCATCTGTCAGGAATTCTCTCATTTTATTATGATTCTAAGTTGTCTTTGTGAGTTTTCGGCTTAGAACCACTCTCTTTTTCCTAGGTTGCCCAAGTGGGTTTTCAACCACTCTCTTTTTTGCTTTTTTTTGTTTTTTCATTTTTATTTTTATGAACATCATTGATGTGGCGACTTGAAATTGATAGAAAGTAGAAGACTTGTAAGAGTCGTTGTTGAAGGTGTTATTGAAGATGATAACTTGAGATTATTTCTCTTCTTATTTGAAGAATTTTAGGTCATGGTGATTGAATCGACTTGGAGTCATGAGAAGTCACTTCACTATTGCCCCAGTTTTGGGCTTTTTATAATTTTTTCACAAGAAGATGAGATCAATTCAAAAACTGCCATAGTTTGGGCTTCTTATGACTTTCCACTAGAAAGTGTGATCAACCCATAAACTGCCCCATTGTGAGATAACAATCATCCTTCTATTCACATTTATCTAATAGATTTGAACAAGAAAGACTTAGACCAAGAACCACTCAAAATGTGCCCTAGTTTGAGAGGCTTCAATTTTTCCCTTTAGTATAAACCTCTTTATTTCATGCATAACTCTTTTAAAAAGAGATATTAAAACAATGATCATGCAAACTTTGGGAAGTATTTGGTCTATGAGTAGCGATGTGGTAGAGATTGTAAATTTAATTTGGGTTTGACTTGTGTAGATGTGGTGGTGGTGATGGTAAAAGTTAATTTGGGTTTTAGGTTGTGAGTGATGTTGAGGTGAAGATAATAGTGAGAAAATGAACTTTAACAATATGCATTAAAGATGAGATATTTTTATCAAAATTTTATGACATTGGTGGAGTCAGCGTTTTGCTATCATGATGTATATCTTAGGCAAATAAGTTCTCAACAATGTCTTTTTAAACTTGTATCATGGCTTGGGTAATGGTTTTCAAGAAAGGATATAAGGCTCGAAACATGTGTTTCCCATACCCAACTTTCACTTTTCTTCTTTATCCTATTTTCAACAGTTTTCGAACATGACATTCAACATCTAAAAGAAATTTCCAGGTTGCATAAGAACGACTTGAGACTTAGGCAAAAATATTTCCTGGAGTGGTTCCTTTTGTGATCATTAATATTGCGCATTTACCCTAACTTTTTTCTGAGATATTAATTGAGTATTCTCAGCAGACTTTTTATTGTATATTTTTTACTATTTTTGTTCTTTGATCTATGAACATTCTGTTTGTTCTTTTATTGTTCAGCCACATGATTGATATAAAAAACATAATATTTTCTTTAATAATTGAATGTCAAGGAAAACAGTTGAAAAACTATCAGCCCCGCGTTATTGACATATTGTGGGTTATTAAAAATAATCTCCTTCCATAATTACTAGGCTCAAATGTGATGACTAGGGATATCTCCTTAGTGTTTGAAAAATAAATAAATAAAGTTGTCATCAGAAAGATCTATTTGCAAATGCCCATCATTTTGGGTCTTATATTCACATCATCCTCCATATCAATTTTCTTTAAAGTTAAATATCTCATATTAATACATGGATTAACTTTATTTGGGTTTATTTTGTTGTGTTTTTTTTATAAATATAGTTAGTGCAGATAATATGGTTGGGATAGGGTGATGTGTGAGATTGTGAAATTTGCATGATCAATGCACTAGTAGATAATCATTACAAAGATATGCATTTGAACATAGATCGTTGTACATGACAAAGGAAACATGGATCGGTGTAGGAGTGACGGGATTTGACTAGGGTCTTCAAGTGAGAAGCTTTCAAATTTAATCTTGGTTCCACTAGGGTAGGAGGTGATGCACTATCTTGTCTAACAGGTTTAACTCATGTAGTCTCAATCATAAACTTAAAATAATTCTATCTTTTTTTTAAATGTCTTCAACTTCAACCATGATTACTTTCAGTCTAGTTCAACAATAATACTCTTAAAATCAACCCTTATGTGATGAGTGCTCTCGGCAATGGATCATGAAATATATGCATAACATATTATTTTATGTATGATATGCATGAAATGGATACGCCTTGTATATTTTGTTTATCATGTTACATGGATTTAAATACAACCTATAACTCAAAAGTGCATGACATACACATGAGGATGCATTTGATTTATTTTGAGATGTATGAATGATATAAGAATGCAACTTTTGATGCATGAGAGTGTGTGATATGTAATTTTTTCTTTATTTTTTTAATCATGAAACTGCTTGAAAATGCAATCCTAGGTGCATATGATATGGAATGCATATGAAATAAGCGAAATGTGTGAAATGATTTACAGTGATTAATGAAATGATATTGTGAGATGACAATGTTTGAATACCTCTTTGTTATTTTTTGATAAATGCATGCATGAATGAATATATATATATATATTAGTGTGTGTATGAATGATGTATTTTTTAAATGTATGTATTTATGATGAATGAATGCATGCATAAGTCAATGAATGATGAATTTTATTTTTTAATGTAATATATGAATACATAAGTCAATCAATAGGAATTTTTATTCTTGAATGCATAAATGAATTCATAAGCCAATGAATTATGATTTTTGAATGCAATGAATGAATGCATTAGTAGATCAATGAACACTTTCTTTTTGAATGCATGAATGAATACATAATTGAATGAATGAGTGAATGAATGTTTGAACATGTAATTTTTGTTTTTGAGTTAATGTATGTATGGATGTAGAATGAGATGTATTTGATTAGCTTTCAATATCCTACTCAGGGTACACTTATAACACTACAACAAATTTTGTATTTAGTGGAGGTTTTTTATGCGATTAGCGGAGGTTTTTGACCTCCACAGTATAACTAGTGGAGGTTTCAAAAATCTCCACAGTTATGACCGCTAGAAGTGTTTTGTGGAAGTTTTCGAAAACCCCTGGTACCTATTAATTGGAGCACTTTATTTGTGGAGATTTTTAACCTCCACTATTTGCAGAGGTTTTTAACCTCCACCATTTGAAGAGGTTTTTAGCCACCGTTTGAGGAGGTTTTTAGCCTCTACTGTTTGTGGAGGTTTTTGCATCATTTATCGTGGAGGTTGTAAACCTCCACAATATAATTCTATAAGATTTTAACCTCATTTTAATTTCATAATTTTCATTTCAATATATAATACTAAATACAAATGTTCTTAACAATAATAAAGTTACATTGGAAATAACTAAGATAGTGTCATATAGTTGAAAGAATTATAATTCATCATTCATTATAAATTCAAATACACCATAAAATCTCAAAACTAAAAGTAATCTCATGAGACTTTAAAAACAAAATACATTTCAAATAACAAATATCCTAAATCTACTTGAAGTTAATAAATACATAACTGATCTGAATAAAGAGAATGTTCTCCAAATCACCCAAATTAGGAAATACGGGCACCATATTTAGTTCATGCACACTATATTCAGTGCCAAACAAATTAAGAATTTTTTTTTAAACTATATCCTATATATGCTTCTTCCTTTCCAATTATCACATCATTTGAACT